TCTGAAGACACATTGAGAACCAACAGCTTATAAGGCAGATGGTCATAATGTTTTGGCTCCTCTGTATGAAAATCTTTTGATGTTTATATATGCATACATACATTCTAACTAATGAGTTCTGTAATATGTACTTGATCTTCACTCCTTATTTTATGGTCAAATATGTTTAAAAACAATAATGATCATTAATATACCAACACTTGAGTCTTTGCAATGTTTCTCTTTACAGGCAGTCCATTAAATTAATTGAATATGTTTAAAGTTCTTATTTTTACTTTGCTCTGTTTTTGGATATACTGTTTTAATTTTTTTAAATAAATAAAAATATAAAATAAATATGTAATGAAAATAACTGAAAATCAATAACTTATTTTATTTAGTTACCAACAATGCTTAATCTATTAAGGGAATTGATTTTGCAATTCCAAAGATTTTTGCAAAGGTATATTCAGAAAAATATATTCAGCTGACAAATGACTTCTTAGTTTAAAAAGTTATTTTTAATAATACCAAAATTTGATTACTTTGGAGTTGACAGTATGCTAATATTGTAATATGACCGTATATTAGCTTACACTTAAAATATTGGGACATATTCAAAACCATTTTATTTTATGTAAAAATTTAAAATATTTTTCCTTTGAACACATTTTATAATTACATGTTTTTTTGTTTTTTTTATGATGACTGTTGGGAATTTTATGCACATCTGAAAAATTATCTGTAGCTCTAAAGGTTTTCCACACATTGGAAATATTTTTTATTCAAAGGAGAAAAGAAATATGTGTGGTATAAACATTTGTCAAAAGTTGACAGAGTAGCAGTCTTTTGTTGTCCTTACTTAGGCAATTAATATAATTATAGGAAAGTGGTTTGTTCAGTTGTTCTTACACACACACTTCTAGTAAACATCATGACACGGAGTGCCATTGACATTTTATCTGAGGACAATATAGGGAAGTGTCAACTTAGGCATTTCCCTGCAAAAGTTAATATAAGTACAGCCAAGTGGAATTCAAACTGTTTGCCACTTCAATTATATCATTTACCTCACTGAAACACACACAGAAACACATATAGTATTAAAATAAAGCTCTGCTGTTGCAAAATAATTGTAATTGTATATTTATTTTCTCCATTAGAATCCAGAACAATTCATCTTCATCAATGCATTGGCTCCATCTAATTTAGTTGTCAGTCAAATTTAACCTTTGTTTTTACTAATTCCAGACTGAATCCTAATTTTAGTTATGTGATGCTGCCACTATTGCCATCACCTGCCTTTAATTTCTGAATGGCCTCACAGCACACAACTTTATGTACATCCTGGCCTAGACCTAGAGTTGCAAACATGCCTTTTTCTAAATAAATAGAGGCACACAAATTTGCTTATCTCAAATTCAGTATATTCCATTGACTGCATCACCTAAAGCCATATACATCCAATACCCATCTTAAGGAGAAAATTATTATACCAAAACATAACTTTTAGTAGTAAATCTGACTTTGTGTGTGTGTATATATATATATATATATATATATATATATATATATATATATATATATATATATATATACACATACACACGTGTGTGGTTGTTATTTTTAGTGAATACCAGTGATGTGTGTGTCATAGCCATTAAATTACAATATATGTGCAGGCTATAAATATCAGTTTTGTTTTATTTTCACAATAAATATAGTTCAACATGATTATCAGTTGTAGCACATGCAAAGGCTTATACTTCTTGGATATTCAACATGAAAAGACTTGTCCTTTTATGCAAATCTACTTCTCATATACAAAATTGTCCCAACCCCACTTTTATTTTTAACCTCATAATCAGAAGTTTTCCTGGGCATTATGAGAGCTTTTAAAATATATAGGTTAAAATCATAACAAAGATTTAGTCCTGAAATGGCTTCATTATTTCAATGTGTCTTGTTGCTACCCTTAATTATTAAGTAACATAAAAATATTAAAAGATTATTAATATAAATAAAACAGAAACATTTGAGTTGTAACTGATATTCTCAAGTTTCTTCTGACTTCTTTTCTCCTTACTCCCCCTTATATCTTTTCAACTTCTGCTTTTTTCCAAAACTATTACCATGGCAACAATGCTTTAGGATAAAAAAGGAAAGCTTCTTGAGATACTTTGATAGGAAAATGACAGGATCATGTGGCTTTATTGTTGTTGTTATCCTGCTATTAAAGATAGATGCTGGTTAATGAGCTTATTTCCCTTAGACAATTATTTTAATGAGTAAAAAAAAAAAGTAAAAATACCAAATACGAGAGAGAAAACTGTTTAGAATCTGTTTTAAATTCTGAGGATTTAATAATTAAATGTTAATAAGTAACATTAAATTTTAAAAGATTATTTTAAACAAATCTGGAAAAGCTATTTACGCTGGTTGCTAGATGCAATAATATTGATTGTATGACTCTTAAGTCTCATAATCGGTAAAGTGTTGTTGAGAAAATCTGTTGAATACTGTGGCAATTCATTATCTGATTGCTGCACCATAAGGCTGGTGATCACCTCCACAAGTGGCTATATTTAAACATTTATCAGTGAATGCATTACAAAATTCTTTTGAGCTGACATTTTTAAGGCTTCCTCTCATTTTGCAATTGACAATTGTAGAATTTATTTTATTTAAAAAGATTTCTCTTTGCTATTCATTAAGATCACTTTTCACCTCATTGTAATAAAAATCAACTAACTATAATCTTAAATCTTGTTTTACATTAACTTTTGTGTATATCAAATTGGTGCAGATAATATAAATTTAATCAAGTAAATTTATACTTGCAAAAAAGTTGTTTGTTAAAAAGGCCATTGTATTTTTTGTTTGTGATATATATCTTGTTTGTTATTTACGTTTTTTTTCTTGGTGTTGAATTTTTTTTCAAGTGAAACTCAAAGCCCATCACTGGATCCTGGTGTCTGCCCCTCATCCAAAATCCAAACAGTATAGATATTATCTAATAGATTTTATCATTTTGCCATTTCAATTGGTGAATGCCTTTACAAACGAAACTTACAAGTGAAACATGAAAAAAAGGGACCAATAAATCAATTTTAAATATAATTGACCAGCAAATCATTTTCTATTTATGCCTTTGTAAATGGCATCATGGTAGAGTAATGGATAGCGGCTCAGATTGAGGAATTGGAGAGCTGAGTTCGAATTCCAGTCGAATCCATTACATTCACTTACATGCTAATATCCTTGGGAAAGGTATGAATCCTCTTATCCCCCCAGCTATGGGTAAATAGCAGGATAAACCAGGTTCTATAGCCTTGGATGGCAACTGGTCTACTGCAGAGAAAAATGGCAACCTACTGCAGGAAAAAAAAATCTGCCTCATCAGTCATGTATCAAAAGATACATGATTGCCTAAGCGTGTATCACGCAAGGCGCATAACTGACTGAAATGGCATCGACCCCAAACCTTTTTGTTCCATCAGCCAGCTGTCTTGCCTGTGGTATATTGGATATAGTGTGTGAAAGCAGTGCCGCATAAGTTTCTATTCCTCTACTTGCATCAATATCCAAAATAGGATCTTTCTCAAAAATGGATGAAAAGATTATTTGCTATGACAGTCATAGAAGGGATTATATAATCATTAGTTTGGATATGACTAAACTGTTATGTCAGTTACCTGAAGAGTACAGAATGTGCTATTGTTAAAAAAGAAGCAACAAATATGAAAATAATGAGAAAAAAAAAATCTTTCCTTTTTAAATAAAAATATTCTGATGGAACTTGTATAAGACTCAAGTCAAGATATTCATTTGAAGAGAAAGACTTTAAAAGAAAATAAAAATATAATTACAGATGCTGATTATTAAAAATGCTATTCCATAAATAATCTATTCATTTTTTCCCCTCAAAATGGTATTTTTTTATGTAGTTTTTTTTAGTGATAAAATTAACCCTTTAAAATCTACAATTTGAGGTACCATTGTTGCTGAATTATGCATTGACATTACAAGATTATGATAGAAAGTTTTTCACATTGTCTTGTGAACTGTTTATATGAAGAGGAAACATTATAAACAGTAGATTATTAAACAAACATTAAGTATTTTGTCATTGTTAAGAAAATAAAATAAAGAGATGAAAATATTTGGAAATGCACTTAGATAGACAGGGTACTCCAAAAATAATGCATTGTATATTTCTACAAAGTTGTCACTGTTGGCTATGCATTTTTACCAGCTATGAACAAGAGCTTGAATGCTCTGTGCACAGAATGTGACCTGTTATACACATTTTTGTTGCATTACCCCCTGCCTAACTGTGCTCTCATCCACCGTATTGTCTCTGTAAACATATATTCACGAATACAAGTTTAGAGTAATAAAAATGACGCATGAGTTCATTATTCATTTAATTAAAAATGTTAACTGATACTATGAGACATGTTTAGATGTCATTTGTGTCTTCCTTGGCATCACTGGACTCCCCAGTGAAGAATAGGATCACTGCTTTACCACACTAGGTGTTGCTGCTGTGATTTCAAAGTTGTCTTTCTGTTAGACTGGTTACCAACCAAGGCTAGAGAGCCTAGTCTGCCATAGCTAAGAGGAGAAGAAATGGCTTCATACCTTTCCCAAGAGTATTTATGTGAAAGGGTACATGATGAACTCTGTTGGAATTTGAACTTCATATGCTAATTACATTTTCTATGCTGATAACTGCTACACTACATGCATGGCATGTAGTGTAGCAGGCAATCATCTATGTGACTGCTTAACCCCCTCCATAAATGTAAAGTGGCAAGTGTAATTCTAACAGAACAAACAAGTTAACATTTACTTAAAATTTTTCTTTTATTTATGAATCTTAAGAATTTGTCACCAGTGCTGGGCATTGTGTATTAGTGGTTATTACATTGTAGCTTGTCATACCTTTAGTTGATATGCCTTCCTGCTTTGTCTGCTAAGCCAGACCAACTTAACTGCTTTCTTTCTTTGCTTTCCAGCCTTTGGTCACCTGACTGCCAATTGTGATGTGGATGAGACATTTTGAAACTTGATCATCACTTCCTCTTCCTACTAGTATTTGCTGCATCAGAGCTTGATAAAACATACTGTTATGTTAGAAACAATTACATAGATTGCCTGCTCTTTACATGTTATTAATTATTACTACTACCATTACCACATTAATTATTACCACCACACCTCTATTACTACTTGTCCTCCTCCTATTCAGCTGAGACTGTTTGCAAGTCTACAGAAGGTCACTGCTCTGACACAAGCAAGACCATAGACTTCTTTCTGCCTTTTATGCGTGTGCACAAACACACCTTATGTTAATATGTATTCATCTATAACTACTACTCTACTGCTACTGCCTCTACTATTATAACTACTACTATTACAGTTGTCACACCTTGCTGCTGCTCCTCCTCCTCACTCATTTTGGGTGGCACCTTCAGTACAAACAGTAGCTGCTATGATTTCATTTATCATCACTACCATCACAATCATTTTCATTGTCATCATCACCATCATTAAATAACTCTAAATGATGACAATACAAATCTATTACTGACTAACCAGGAATTTCAAAACCAAAAATACAAGCAACTGACTAATTATCTGTAGACAATACATGGAAGCAAAAACATTATAGGTGCCTCAAGACAATTTACTTGCATATGCATATATGATATAAATCCATATATAAATTTATGCTATATAAATCAATGTACGTATAATACATGCTTTTTACACACCTAACAATGCAGTTGTTTACACTCATATATTCAGATCATTTTGACTATTTTTATATTTGTAAATAGTAATAATTATTGCAAAAATAACAATGGTGACAGATAATCTTGGACAATGTCAGCCTCAGTGCAGATGGTTGATGAAAAAAAAACTTTTTTCCTTGAAATATGGTCAGGGTAGGGAAGATTGCATTTGTTAAGTACATTGGAGATAGTGATAACCTTGTGTGCATTGGCATCACACCTTAGTTTATATTTTGTTGTTACCTAGTCTTTCACAGATGCTGATCCTCACCATTACTTTGCTGTCTAGCTTTATAGAAAAAAAAGCCCGCAAGATTTCAGACATTAATATAAATGAAATCTTTCACTCTCTTTTATTTTTGTTCTCTGACCCTCTTCCCCATAACATATCATTTGGCTACACAAGTCTCCAACACGACACTCCTGGCAATAAATTAATCATACTTTTTATTTATTTATTTATTTTATTTTGTCCTTTTTATAAATTTTCTGACCTCAAAACTTTTAGCCAGAAATACAACAGTAACCTGACAAAAAAAAAAACAAAAAAAAACAAAAGCTGTGGTTTTTTAAAAAGTTCATAGCACAGACAAGTCATAATTTTAGCTTTGAAATGAAAATTTTCAAACTCTAAGAAACAAAATGTTGTCTGTGCTAAAGATTAAAAATCAAATCCTTCAAAAATAATGAGAACCTAAAAATTTTCAGATGTGTAGGTTATTTTTGTTCATATTAACAACTTGACATGAATTTATAAAATATATTCTACCAAAAGCTATTTGGTGCATATTATTTTCTTTTTAGTCTTTTGAAGAACTGTAACAAAAGCTTTGAAAACACATAGAAAACTTTCTCTAGAATTAAATTTTTTTTTTTTAACATGAATCATTTTGAATTTACTTTATCCCTCTTCCATCACTGCCACTTCTTTTTTTTTCTGCATTCCGATTATGGAATCTTAACACATTTGTAATTCTTTAATTTTCTTAGCCTTTATCAAGATTCTATGAAAATAGTTTAAGTATTAACAATGCTTATTACAACATGTGGCATACAAGGGATTATACTTAAAAGTTATATTTTAAGGAAATTATTTTTTGCCTAAATGTCAAGTTTCCTTTACCTAGAGTAGTATTGATATTTCTAGTTTAAAAAAAAAGTTACAAAATAAAGACTTGCTCAACAAAATGTATCAATTACAATATTTCTTTTTAACTACCTTCAAATTTCTTTCTAGTGTAACATTGGTCAGCTTTTGATTTTTAAAAAAAAAAAAAAAAAAATTAACTTTTCTTCCTTGTGAATAATGAGTTTCTTTGTGGGAACACAGCTTGCTAGATGTTACATTCCAATAAAACCTTTTTGTTTTATTTCATTTTGTTTTTTTTTCCTTTAATTAATATCTCTTTGTATTGCACCCATCCCCTCCTTGTCATTAGGCTTCTTTTTTTCATCCTGGCCTCTGGAGTTTTGTATGCCTCTTTGTCTCTAAAAAGTATCCCCCCCCTTCTACCCCATAACTAGTAACTACATTTTCCTAACTTCTTATTGTGTTTGTTTATGATCAGGGCAACAACTCTTACTGATAATATTTACAGATTCATAAAAGAAATTAATTCTTTTTTAAGACTTTGCTGTATAAAGAGTAAGGAAAAAGTTTTCAGCATTTGAAATGGATCTGGAAAAAGGAAAAAATGGCTGATCTTTTTGTCTTTCTCTCCTTCCCTTTTATTTTTTTTATAATGGCTTTTAATAAAGTTGATTTTTATTTTAATGAATTTGAAGCCATCTTGTTATTGTCTTGTTTTCTCAATTTGTATGATCAAAATGTTTCTATGTACCCAGTTATTATTTTTATGCATTTTTTATTTGTAAATTATTCTCATCCTCAGCATTCTACAAAAGTTATAATTTCCATGTATAGCCAATTCCTCTCATGTGCCTCAATTCAGATTTTCCACAAAACCTGAACTGAGGTGTCACTGTAAAGTGATCTCATCCACTCGCATGAATTAAGCAACATTAGTTTTAATTAGAGATATGCCAAATTTATAAGTCTTTTCTTCACAGATTTGTTCAGCCTATTTGATGAGATTAGTTTTGGAAGCATTCTCTCTAAATCACAGACTGTATCTTTTTCTTGAGTTCATATTCAAAATGATTAATAAAAATTTGTGTCCAAAGTTTGGAGTTAAATTTTATTAAGTATAAGAAAAACATGGCATCCATTCTGCATTTATCCAAAAGCAAAAAAAGTTAAGACTAACTTAAAATCAGATCTTTGTTTTTAATTTCTAAGGAATTTTGCAAAACGTTTTTGTTCATAAAGATCATTCCACTGAACTTTGCTTCTTTTTTTTTCTATTTCTGAGGATTTGCTTTGTTAGCTTCCTCTCAACCCCAATTATGAAAATAATCTGATTTTTTTCTTTTTGTGTTTAAATATAGATAAATCAACAATTAACATATTCTTTTCATAACCTCATACTTAAACTATTTTCTAACTCGTTTACTTTAGCTTTCCCCTCTCTTTTATAGTGAAAATATCTTTATAATTTAAGTATTCCTAATATAAACACAAACCATAACCTGTGGCATAAGCTAAGATCCAAAAATGTAGGTCTCCAACTTTCCGTAGGGAAGTGTCAATGACTTGTCTACTTATGTTGATTCATGGAGAGAGAGAAATAACCAGTTTTACAGGTAAGTTAATATATTTAAGAGGCCTTCAGTCTACTCTTTTCAAATTTTCTATCATATTACTCTAAATTATATATATATATATATATATATATATATATATATATATATATATATATATATATATATATACACACACACAATATTTCAACAAATCACTTGGTTTAATTTCTGAATTTCAAATATTGGTAGATGGAATTGCAGATATTTTGTATCTGGTGTTTATAACTGAATTTGCGATTTAATAGTGTCTATGTCATTACTTGTATTTAACCATATTGATAGGTCAAATACAATTTGACGATTTCTACAAAAAAAATTCGTTTCAAGTCCCAAAATCTGCAATAAATGATGAAATGTACAATATATATATATATATATATATGAAAAAAGAAATTTATTTCATTTCATTCAATTTTTTTTAATTTTAGTTTCAATTTTAAAATTACAGACTTTAAACTTTTGAAATATTTTCATTGTTAGTTATATTAGACTATATTACTTTATAACAGAAGGAATATTACTCATAGTAAGTAAAATTATTTTCAATATCCAAGTATATATAAATTACAATTTTAAACCTTTATATTTTAAAATATTATTTTAGTAATATTAATGGAACTTACTACAAAATTATTGAATCATTTCTCGGATTTAGTAAACTTTATTTTTATTACTTAATTTTATTTATTTATTTTAAATATATGTAACCTAAGTAGTAAAGTTTCATATGTATGTACCAAGAACAGGTTAGAATTCATTTTTATTTAACTACAATTTTTAATTACAATTTTAAAATTACCACATTAATTTTTTTAAAATATTTTTCATTATTAGTTTTAATTGACTATATTACTTTATAACAGAAGGATAATTACTCATAGTAAGTAAAATTTTTTTCCATAACAAAGTATATATATGAGAAACAATTTTTAAACTATTATATTTAAATATTTAAGTAATATAAATGGCAAAGAACTACAAAACTATCTAAGTCATTTCTCAAATTTAGTAAACTTTATGTATTAATTAATTAAATTATTTATTTTAAATATATGTAACCTAAAATAAAGTTTCATATGTATGTACAAAGAACAATGGGTCATACATTAAGACCTTACATCATCTAGCTTTAGTTATAATTTCATTAAACCAAAAATGTTTTAGACATTCATTAAAGTGTTTGTTTATTTTTTATTATGAATAAAAAAAAATCTTTAGGATAATTTTATTTAACTACAATTTTTTTAAGCGGTGTTTATGTCAAAATACGTTTTAACCACAATTTTAAATTTTAAATAACAGTTTTAAAACATTTTTCCTGCCATTCAATAGACTTTTTTTTTTTTTTTTTTTTATATATTATTTAAGGAAAATTTTTTGACAATGACGGCATATAATAGCTATTTCATTTCTCTGATTCAGTAAATTTTTATTTTTATAAACTTAGTAATATATAGTTTCTCTTTGTATACAAAGAGGACATACAGTAATTTAATGATCTACAAATTCAGCTTTTCTTATTAACTTCCATTTTTACTGTAGGTGTTTTATTTGATTCTTTTAG